GGGTTCTTGTTTTCCCAGAACATCCTCTCCTTCTCCCTCCCGCCTCCTGCCTCCCACCCCTCCAGGGAGGCCCCGCCTGAGCGAGGAGGGTATCGGAAACCCATACTATTTACATGGCTTCGTGCCCTTTCCACCTCTCCAGGGAGGCCACGCCTGAGCGAGGAGGGTATCGGAAACCCATACTATTTACATGGTTTCGTGCTCCTCCCACCCCTCCAGGGAGGCCCCGCCTGAGCGAGGAGGATATCGGAAACCCATCTTGTTTACATGGTTTCGTGCCCCTCCCACCCCTCCAGCGAGGCCCCGTCTGAGCGAGGAGGGTATCGGAAACCCATACTATTTACATGGTTTCGTGCCCCTCCCTCCCCTCCAGGGAGGCTCCGCCTGAGCGAGGAGGGTATCGGAAACCCGAACTGTTTACATGGCTTCGTGCCCCTTCCACCCCTCCAGGGAGGCCCCGCCCGAGCGAGGAGGGTATCATAAACCAATATTATTTACATGGTTTCATGCTCCTCCCTCCACTCCAGGGAGGCCCCGCCTGAGCGAGGAGGGTATCGGAAACCCATACTAATTAAATAGTTTCGTGCTCCTCCCATCCCTCCAGAGAGGTCTCGCCTGAGCGAGGAGGCTATGGGAAACCCATACCATTTTTCATGGTTTCGTGCCCTGCCCACCTCTCCAGGGAGGCCCTGCCTGAGCGAGGAGGGTATCGGAAACCCGTACTATTTACATGGTTTCGTGCCCCTCCCACCCCTCCAGGGAGGCCACGCCTGAGCGAGGAGGGTATCGGAAACCCATACTATTTACATGGTTTCGTGCTCCTCCCACCCCTCCAGCGAGGCCCCGTCTGAGCGAGGAGGGTATCGGAAACCCATACTATTTACATGGTTTCGTGCCCCTCCCTCCCCTCCAGGGAGGCTCCGCCTGAGCGAGGAGGGTGTCGGAAACCCGTACTATTTACATGGCTTCGTGCCCCTTCCACCCCTCCAGGGAGGCCCCGCCCGAGCGAGGAGGGTATCATAAACCAATATTATTTACATGGTTTCATGCTCCTCCCACCCCTTCAGGGAGGCCCCGCCTGAGCGAGGAGGGTATCGGAACCCCATACTATTACATGGTTTCGTGCCCCTCCCATCCCTTCAGGGAGGCCCCGCCTGAGCGAGGAGGGTATCGGAAACCCATACTATTTACATGGTTTCGTGCCCTTTCCACCTCTCCAGGGAGGCCCCGCCTGAGCGAGGAGGGTATCGGAAACCCATACTATTTACATGGCTTCGTGCCCCTCCCACCCCTCCAGGGAGGCCCCGCCTGAGCGAGGAGGGTATCGGAAACCCATACTATTTACATGGCTTCGTGCCCCTCCCACCCCTCCAGGGAGGCCCCGTCTGAGCGAGGAGGGTATCGGAAACCCACATTATTTAAATGGTTTCGTGCCCCCCCCCCCCACGAAACCATTTCGTGTCCCCCCTCCACTCCTCCAGAGAGGCCGCGCTTGAACGAGGAGGGTCGCGGAAAGCAAATTTCTTTACCATGTTTCGTAGCCCTCCCCCCTTCCAGCGGGGCCCCGCCAGAGCGAGGAGGGTATCAAGAAACCGTACTGTTTACAAGGCTTCGTTTCCTGAGCACCTGTCCTCCCTCCTCCTTTCTTTAGTCTGCCCTTTCGTGCGTACTTACTCGTTCGATGAGCTTCTCGTTCGTGTTGATGTTGTCGTACCCCATGGGTCCCACGAAACCGTCAATATCTTTATGTGGGGAACTCCGTTAACATAATTGTTGAGTATGTGTTGACCTTTTTGGGGCATTTTGGGTGTATTTTCCCCACATCCTGAGTGGGGTGTTTCTTTTCCCAGAACATCCTCTCCTTCTCCCTCCCGCCTCCCGCCTCCCACCCCTCCAGGGAGGCCCCGTCTGAGCGAGGAGGGTATCGGAAACACATACTATTTACATGGTTTCGCGCCCCTCCCACCCCTCCAGGGAGGCCACGCCTGAGCGAGGAGGGTATCGGAAACCCATGGTATTTACATGGTGTCGTGCTCCTCCCTCCCCTCCTGGGAGGCCCTGCCTGAGCGAGGAGGGTATCGGAAACCCATACTATGTACATGGTTTCGTGCCCCTCCCACCCCTCGCCTGAGCGAGGAGGGTATCGGAAACCCATACTATTTACATGGTTTCGTGCTCCTCCCACCCCTCCAGGGAGGCCCCGCCTGAGCGAGGAGGGTATCGGAAACCCATACTATTTAAATAGTTTCGTGCTCCTCCCAACCCCTCAGAGAGGTCTCGCCTGAGCGAGGAGGCTATTGGAAACCCATACCATTTTTCATGGTTTCGTGCCCTGCCCACCTCTCCAGGGAGGCCCCGCCTGAGCGAGGAGGGTATCGGAAACCCGTACTATTTACATTGTTTCGTGCCCCTCCCACCCCTCCAGGGAGGCCACGCCTGAGCGAGGAGGGTATCGGAAACCCATGTTATTTACACAAATGGGTTTCGTGCTCCTCCACCCTCCCAGAGGGCCCCGCCTGAGCGAGGAGGGTATCGAACCCATAACTCTTTACGGTTTCGCGCCCCTCCCACCCCTCCAGGGAGGCCCCGTCTGAGCGAGGAGGGTATCGGAAACCCATACTATTTACATGGTTTCGTGTCCCTCCCACCCCTCCAGGGAGGCCCCTCTGAGCGAGGAGGGTATCGGAAACCCATACTATATACATGGTTTCGTGCCCCTCCCACCCCTCCAGGGAGGCCCCGCCTGAGCGAGGAGGGTATCGGAAACCCATGGTATTTACATGGTTTCGTGCCCTTCCCACCTCTCCAGGGAGGCCCCGCCTGAGCGAGGAGGGTATCGGAAACCCATACTATTTACAAGGCTTCGTTTCCTGAGCACCTGTCCTCCCTCCTCCTTTCTTTCGTCTGCCCTTTCGTGCGTACTTACTCGTTCGATGAGCTTCTCGTTCGTGTTGATGTTGTCGTACCCCATGGGTCCCACGAAACGGTTAATATCTTTATGCGGGGAACTCCGTTAGCATAATGTTATTTTGTTCCTCGAATATCCCCCTGTAGGGGGACACGCCCGACATAAGAGTGGGTGGGTTCGGAGGATCGCGCCGCATCGCCGATGCGTCGCCGATGCGGCTCGACGTCGGGCCCGATCTGCTTCACGTCGACGTCACCTATGTATCGCCCACGGCGACGACAAATCGCCGGTGCATCCCTGGTGCATCGCCGATGCATCCCGATGTACCGGCGATGCGGCGCGATCCTCCGACCCCAACTATTCCGACCCCATCTAGGAGGCTTCTAGACAAGAAGGAAGCCCTAAGTGCAAGCACTGTGTGGGGACAACGGCGGGGGCGGTATGATTTTTTTGGGGGTCTGATTTGAGCTGTTCTGGAGGGTTTCGTGGGGTCTGGGCAAGAGGGCGCCCCTTCTTGCTGGCTGGTCTGGGAGGGCCTACAAGTGCTCTTCCCGGAGGTTCGTGTCCCCCCCACCGCTGTGAAGTTCGGAGGAAGCTTTTGGAGCTCCGAGCGGGTTTCTCGGATCTGCGCAGGAGGGACGATGGGAGAGTGACGGAGGGACGGAGGCGGCAGGAGGGCGCATCGGGATAGCAAAGTCCTCGGTCTCGTGTTTTTTGGGGGCTTCGACTACGGCACCGCCTGATCCCGAGGCTTTGCCTCCTCCCGGCCTCGTTCTGAGGCTGCGCCCCCCCTTTTCCTCCCCCATCCCTGGTATTCAAGCTTCGCGCGGCCTGCTTAGCTTCGACCGGAAGAGGTGCGCTCTCGACCCGCGGATCAAAAAAAAAGTGTTTTGAGGGGGAGCGTCTGGGCCTGGGGCCCTGGCACGAGTTTTGTGGAGTTTGGGCCTTTCGGTTTCTGGCCTCGGCCTCCGAATCTCTGGGCTCGCCCCAGGCAGTGTGTGGGTTTGCCCTTCCGGAGTGCTTGGTTTTGCCCTTGGCCGCGGTTGGGCGCGGCTCGAAGAAACGCGGGCCAGCATGTGCCCCACACGAGGAGGAATGTTCAAACATAGTTTAAAAAAGGGCGCTGGGGGCGATTTTGGGGGATTTGTTTCGACTATGTTTGAATGTGCTTTGAGTATGTTTGATCTTCCGCCCAAAATCCGCCTGTGGGAGGACATGCCCGACCGAAGACTGGAGAAGAAGCGCGGCGGAGCTTTTGGTGGGCCAACTCCGGCCTCTGTTGGCAGTTTCCAGGCTCCGGGGCTGTGAACAAAAAGGGTTCGGGGTGAGCTTACCAGCCTGGAACATATCCCTATCCCTATGCTGGGCACCTCCTCATCACGATGCCAATCTTAGGGAATCCCTTATCTTTTGAGGGCGAATCCCTAAGATTGTCATCGCCTTTTGGCGTGTCAATCTTAGGGATAGGGTTACGTTCGAGGCTGGTAAGCACGGTGTGGTCACCGCCCCCGTTTGGGGGCCCCCGTTTGGAGGAGGATGAGGAGGAGGAGGAGGAGGAGGAGGAGGAGGAGGGGGAGGAGGAGGAGGAACCCCACCCCCAGCAGCCATCGACATTCTCCTGGGGCCCACTTGGAGCCCGCGGGCCCGATCCCGATGACTCGACTCTTGGCGGCCCGCTCCGATGCGGTCCCGAGATTCTGGCGTTCAGTCCGACGTCTTCACGGCGCCGTCTCGTCCACGCTCCAACTCTAACTCCTCCTCCTCCTCCTCCTCCTCCTCCCCCCCCCCTCCTCCTCCTCCTCCTCCCCTCCTCCTCCTCCTCCTGTTCCTCCTCCTCCTCCTCCTCCTCCTCCGTAGCCATTTTGGCTCAAGGTTGCCATTTGGGCTCCGTGCGCCCGCGCGCGGCTCTCATTTGACCCCAGCCAGGCGCCATGCCCAGGGCCCTGGTCCAACGACCGCACCTCGGGAGCGGGCCAGTTCCCCCGCCTGGCATAGGCGCGCGCGGCGGAGGCGGAGCGAGGCGCGGCGCCTCCTTCGCCTGGACGCGGCGCGGCGCTTGCTCGCAGCTCACCACGGCGAGGCCACCAACGGCATGGCGCCCTCGCGCCGTCGTGGCGAGCGCGCCCAGCGCGCGGCCAAGTGGTTGTGCCGCTTCTGCAAGCACAAGACCACTGGCCAGGACTGGTGGAACGTCGCGACGGCGGCGAGCTGCGGGATGTGCGGGCGGGCCAAAGGCATCTGCTTCAAGGCCGAGGTCGCCCCGAACGCGCCGTCCGTGCACGTGCCTCCGCGCGGCGGCACGTCCACTCTCAATCCTTGGAGCAAGGGGGCCAAAGAGCTTGAGATGCTTCGCAAGAAGGTCGAGCGCCTGGAAGCTGCCCAGGCCCCTCCGCCAGGGCGCCCGGGTGCTGCGGCGCCTGAGTTCGTGGACGTCGAGATGTCCGGGGAGCCCTCGGATGACTCCGCGCGGCAGCGCCTCCAGGAGCTGGACAAGGAGCTCGTCGCTGTGTCCAAGCACAGCGGGCCTGCCTGGCTGGCGGGCAAGCAGGAGCTCGAGGAAGAGCGCGAACGCCTCCGCGTCAAGCTGCTGGAGTCCAAGCCGATTCACGCCAGACTGCGCACGGTCACTGCTCGCCTCGAAGCGGCTGAGAGGCAGCTTCTTAAGGCCAAAGAGAGCCTCGGGAAGGAGCGAGAGGGATTGGCAGCCCTCCTCAGGAATATCGGGGAGGCTGAAACCGCCATCCAGCAGCAAGAGCAGAACATCAAGGACCTTGCGAAGCAGAGGAGCCAGCTTGCCCAGCAAGCAGCCGGCGAGCAGGCGTCTCAGCGCCCATGGCTGCGGTCGGCCTCGACGCGTCGAGGCTCGGCGAGGTCCTTCAGCGCTGCGGGATTGGCGACCAGGCCAGCACAGTCGCCCAGGCCATTATTCGGGACCTCCCCAACATCGTGTCCAACACCACGCTGGTCCCCGCGGGCGCGGAGGCGGGCCTGGCGGTTGCGGCCCAGCCCCAGGCGGCTGCCGAGGCGCCTGCTGCGGGGGCCGCTGCTGGCGCCGTGCCGCCGCGCCAGCCACCGGAGCCAGCTGAGCCAGCGGCAGCCTCGATGGGTCTGCCAGGATTGCCGCGGGATCAGGGCACAATCGAGTGCTTGTCCAACGCCGAGTTGCGCACGCTCATGGCTACGGTGGTGCCACCGGCCAGCAACCCTCTCGAGGACGCGGAGTTGCGAGAGACGGCCAGGCACATGTTTTGCGTGGCTAGCCTGCCGAGGCCTGCTGCGAGTGCTGATCGCCCTTATTAAGATGATGATGGTCACCTCTGTAGCCTCGGCGGCGACTGGCCCCCACGGTGGCAGAGGCGAGGCGACGGCCCAGGCCCAGGCCGCCGCCACGCCTGTCATGCACTACATCCTGGTCGCGGCTGTGTGGCTGGCAGGTCGGAGGCCGAGCTGGACGTTCCAAGCATCGCCTTCGCGGCCGGCCCTGACCAGCAGCCCATGCAGCCTCGGGCTGCCGAGGCAGTTGCTGACGGCGGACCCTCCGACGCCGTCCTTGGGTTGTCGGCCTCCGCGGCGGCAGGATTCTGGTCCGGAGACGGGCCCTTGCCAGCACCTTCTGGCTACCAGATGATTCCCATCGAGATCAGCGACGACGAGGACGCGTGCGTCGTGCTTGCCGATGAGGAAGCGCATGAGGCACTCATGGCCCGTCGCGCGAGGCGCTGCGATGCCTTTGTCAGCCCGCCGATGGGCGCTGCCGGCGCCGCGCGAGCCACTTGCGCGGAGCCGCGGTGTGCCGCAGCTGCAGCTCCCCGCGCCGGCGGCGTGCGCGGCCGATCCAGGCCAAAATCTCCAGAGGCCTCTGGGGGCTGCGGGGTGCCCCGCGCCTCCGACGGCAGACGCCGATCCAGGCCAAAATCTCCAGGGGCAGCTCCCCGCCGGCGCTGCCGCGGCCGCCTGGCCGGCGCCGCTGGAGCTGGCGCAGCCCCCCCCCCAGCCGCGGGCGGTGCGAGGCGACTCGCTGACGCTACTCGCTATCAATGGGGACACGTGGAGCGGCGCTCGGAGGGTTCTCGAGTGGAACGCCGCGGCCAAGCGACAGTTCGACGTCGTCTTCATCCAGGAGACCAGGTTCCCCGACGGCGAGGCAGCCGGGGCGGCTCGGCAGTGGTGCCTTGGCCAAGGCTGCCATCTGGCCCTGGGGCCGCCGCTTCGGGTCGGAACGGAGCGCTTGGCGGTCAGCGGGGGCGTCGGCTTGTGCTCCGCGGCCCACGTCGGCGTGCGCGCGGGCATCGACGTTCCCTCGGAGTGGGCGCACCGCATCGTGGCGAGGAAGATCCACCTCGGCGAGGGTTCGGTTTTCCTGTGCCTCTCGGTGTACCTGATCACGTCGATCGGGCTGACCGGCGACAACATCACGCTCCTGGCGGAGGTCGCTGCGCTTGTGGGGCAGCACCACGCCCCATTCCTCTCGGCAGGGGACTGGAACGTCGACGCGGACGACCTCGCCTCCAGCGGCTGGCTCGACGAGATCGATGGCCTCCTCATCAGTAGTGGCGTCCCGACTTGCGGTGGCAACGACGACTACGACTACTTCGTGGTATCGAGGTCCCTGTCTTCCTGAGCGTCGGCAGCGCGTGCGTTTGCTGGTACGCCGGCGGGGTCTCACGACCAGGTCGGTCAGCTGCTCCCTCGACCGTGTTTGGAGCAAGCCGAAGGTCTGGGTCGAGAACCCCAGGCGGCCATTCTCGGTGGCCAAGAAGCCGGAGGTGCGCCCCGCGACGGACGCTGGTGAGGCTGCTGGGCCACGGCCTGCCACGGAGCAGGAGACGCAGCGTTTGCTGGCGGAGCTGCAGGCCCCGCTGTCGGACCTCCAGGCGGCGTGCGCGGGCTGGTTCGACCTGGCCGAGCGGTCGCTCATCCGCTCCCGGCAGGTGGAGGCTTCCAAGGCCCATCTTCATCGGGGCCGCGGGCGCGGGATCCGCCTGGTGGAGAGGCCGCTGCTCGACGTACAAGAGCGCCGGCAACGACGCCACGACTCTTCTGACACAGAGGCTTGGTGGAGCTTCCTGCGAATCTGGCGGGCGCTCCTCCGTTGGGGCAGGGCCCCGCGCGGCTCGAAGGCCAAGCGGTCCTTCGTGAAGGAGGGTTTGATGCTGCACGGTCGCGCCATCACTCTGCCGCCGGCGGTCTCCACAGGGTTGCGCTTGTCAGCACCATCATGCTGCAGGGTTGCGCTTGTCACCACCACGCCAGACGCGTGGCTGGGCCTCGCCGAGCGGAACAGCCCGCTCGCGCCGTGGTTCGAAGGCCTCCTGGATGACGCGCTCGCGCGGCGGCGCAGTGCTGACGCTGCTGCCCGGGCGCGGCTGTGGCGCGACTTTCGCAACGCGTCGCTGGCTGGGTCAGGCCGTGTGGTTCACAAGCTGATCAAGCCGAAGCCCGTGGAGCCGGGGGCGATATGCTTGCCTGGCGGTGCGCCTGGGCTTCCCCAGGTGGGAGCGCTGGCCGTGGAGGCCATCGTGCTGGAGTGGATGCCCTTATGAGACAAACCGTCGAGGACGAGGGAGGCCCCCGCGGCCAGCTGGCAGGTGCCGCGCACGCTCGGGGCCATCAGCGTGGACCAGGTGCGGACGGCCTCCCTCTCCTTCGGGCGCAGGAAGGGCCTCGGCTGGGACAACTTCCACCCACGCTTGCTCAGCGAGCTCTCAGACCCCTTGGTAGAGCGCTTCACGGCCATCTTGAACCAGTTCGAGGGCTCGGCCGAGGTGCCCGACCTTTGGACGACGATGACGGTCTTTATCCCAAAGCCGCCTCCCGACGTGGGCAGGCGGCCCATCGGCCTGATGGAGCTCTGGCCTCGGGCGTGGTCGAAGATTCGCCAGGGCCTGGTCCGCGCCTGGGAGCGCTCGGTCGACGCCGATTTCTTTTGGGGCAAGAGCGGGGACACGGCGGCGGACCGCGCAGCCTACATCCACAACTTGCTCGTAGTGCACGCCAAGCGCCACGGATTCGTGTCTGGGACGTTGTATTTCGACGTCGGCAAGTTCTTCGAGAACGTTTCCCACTGCATGTTGGTTGTGGCGGCGCGGCACTTCGGCGTCGATCTGCAGCTGCTGAGGTGCCTATACGCGATCCACCGCGGCCCGAGGCGGGCCAGGTGGCTCGGCGCCACGTCGCGGGCGGTGCTGCCCAACGGCGCGGTGATCGCGGACTGCAGCTGCGCGACTGGCGTGGTGAAGCTCCTGGCGCTGAGCGTTCTCCGGCAGATCGTGGCGGAGACGCTCGTTGTCCGGCCGCTGAATCTCGTCGGCGACCTGAAGGTCCACGCGGTCGGCACGCTCCGCACGGCGTGCAGCCAGTTGGTCGCGGCAGCCAACATGGTGATCAAAGAGATGGAGAAGCTCGACCTGCCATTGAACTTGCTGAAGACGTGCGTCCTCTGTTCGACGTCGGAGCTCGCGGACGCGCTGTTGGCGGACAGTCGCTGGCCGTTCGATGAGTCTTTTTTCGCCTCCACCCACCGTGATCTCGGTGGGGGCGCCTCCGACGGCAAGGGCCGTCGGGTGCCCGCGCAGCGTGCTCGCCTGTCTGCCGCGTCGGCCGCAGCGACTAGGCTCGCCAAAATCGGGCGGGGTAGGGGGGCTTCTCGGGTCCACAGGGCGGGTCCAGTCGCTAAGGCCACGTGGGGTGCACACATGAATGGTCTTGGGAATTCGGCTCTGCGGACTCTGAGGGTGGCCTCTGCCAGGTCTTTTGGCCCCCTTCAGCCTGGCCCCCCCATTGGCCTCACCTTCCTCCTTTGTGGGGTCCCCCAGCGCGACCCTCACGTTTCAACGACGGCGACGGCCGTCAAGGCGTTTGTGTCAGTTTGGTGGCACCGCAGTGTCACGAAGCAGGTGCTCCTCTCGGCGTTTGAAGACGCGCTTCTGTCTGCGAGCAAACCCAGGCCCTGGGGCTCCGCCAAGCAGCCTCTGGCTGCCCTTGTACTGACGCTTGCTCGGATCCGTTGGAGTTGGATGTCCCAAGTGAGGTTTTGGTCGACCAGGCGGGTCGCTCCTGGAGTTTGTCTGAGTTGCCCCCAGCTTTCTTCGCCCTTCGCGTGCGCGAAGCGTGCGAGGAAGGTATTGCGATGGAAGAGCAGGTTCGGCAAAGTGATTTTGGCGCCGAGTGGCGCGGCCCCATCTGTCTCAAGCCGGCCCTCGACTTGATTTCGAAGCAAAGCTCGGTCTGGTCTGATCATTGTCGTCACTGCTTGCGCAGCCTGATTGCCAACAGGCATTGGTGCCAGCAGCGATTTCACGACGCCTGCCAGGACATCTCTCCTGCTTGTGTGGTCTGCCAGGCTCCCTCGGGCACCATGTTCCATCGTCGCTTCGATTGCCCTGCCCACGAGGCGTGGCGGCGAGATGTGTTGAGCCCGGACTTGCGTCGGGCGGCGGATAGCGCGCGCCTCCTCTCACCCAGAGCCCAGGAGCTGTTCGCCAGGTGTGTGCCCCCTGACCCCACTTGTTGGTTCACTCGCCCCTCTGAGCACCCCGATGCCACGGTCTACAGGCACAACTGGCCCGCCGAAGGTTTGGTGCTTGGGGAGGGTGCGCATGTGTTCATAGACGGCTCGTGCTACGAGCCTGCTCTCCCTCGGGTTCGATCGGCGGGATGGGCGGTGATCTTGACGGACGGGTGGGGGAATGTGGCTCGTGCGATATGGGGGCGTGTGCCCTTAAGCGCTGCTCCAGCCCAGGTCGCCCGCGACGGTGGGGACTACGCTGTGGTCTCTCTGGTTCGCCATGCTACAGTTTTCCCCGGGGCCAACTTGTATGGGGACTGTGCGGGGACCCTTGGGTATGTTTCGGACCCAGTGGGAGCTGTGTGTCCAGATAATGCTCGATCGCATATGTGGCAGCATGTGTGCGATAAGCTTGACGGTGTGCGGTGGCATAAAGTGCCAGCCCATAGCACCTTTCGTGATGTCGAGAATGGGAAGCTCAGTCGGCTTGAGTATCTCGACAACAAGGCTGCGGACGAATATGCGGAGAAAGGTTTCTCTTTGGGTAGAATCGCTGCCGCCGATCGTGCCGTCGTCGATGGTTGCTTCGAGTTGGCCCGTCTTCTTTATAAATTCTCGGCTGATCAAGAGGCTCGGATTGGAGACAGTCAGCAGTTCGACCATGTCGGCATCGATTGGCTTAGGCACATCACCCTTGAGGCCCCTCCTCTCCCTGACGAGGTTCCTCCACCTCCTCCTCCTGAGCCTCCTCCTCCTGGGAGTGGCGGGACGGGTCGGGAGTCGGGGAGGGTGGGTGAGGAAGGTAAGGAGGGCAGGGCCGAATGGCTCGACCTCCATGTCTGGCCAGCCCGCGCCCACCACATCATCGAGTGTGGGGTCACGGACCCCTCGGGGGCAGCGGCTGGCTCCCTGGCCTTCTGTACTCGCTGCGGCTCGGTTTGTGCCGTAGGAGGGCACGGGGGAAAAACGGCTCTAGCGTCAGATTGTTTGGGCCACCGTTCCTCGGGTCGTGAGAGGCAGTTGGATTTGATTTTGCGCGGTCGCCATCCTTCGAAGCAAGGGTTTCGGGTCTCGCGAGCGGCCGTGTTATCGGATCCCTCTCGAGACTACCTGGCAGCCAAGATGGGTCTGGACAACCTCCCGCGGCTAGCGCCGCCTCTGTCCATAGGCTCTCTTGCGTCCATGTCGGGCGGGGGTGGGTGTGCTTGGGCGGGGACTGGGGTCGACCTTCTGCGAGGCCTGTCACTTTTTGGGTTCCGCTCTCGGGAAGAGGCGGAGTCGCTCGGGCTTCGAGCGCAAGAGCGCCGCCGGCAGGTTGCGCCGCCCGGGGAGGATCTTGACCCCCCCTTAACTCGTTTGGAGTTTGTATGATGCATGTTTTATGTGGCGGCACCTTTCTAGCCGTTGCCGAGCTCCTCCTCCTCCTCCTCCTCCTCCTCCTCCTCCTCCTCCTCCTTGCGGACGCGGCCCGATCCGACGCATCCGGTCCAGCCTCCCGTCCATGACGACCCGGATTGACCGACGGGGCCCCCGCAGCGCCCTCAGCGGGCGTGGCTCGGGGGTGGACAGATTAGTGGATTGTCCGTTCTCGGTTCTCGAGAGGGCGCCGTGGCCGTTATTTTCCAGGTTTGCGCCCGCCAGGTTTGGGCCTCAGGTCGTTTTCGCTAAACCACGTTTTACTAAAGGGGGGTCTGTCCATCCCCGAGTGGCGGGACGTCGTTTTCGTGTTCTGTCCCGTATTTTGCGTGTGCCCTCCGCGTCTCCTGTGGGGGACGGGCACTCGCCCCTCCCGAGGTTTCCCTGTGGAGTTGTTTTGAACAAAAAGAACGAAAAGGGGAGATGAGGATTATTCAGCTGTCCCTTGATGCTGCCTTGAATGAAGAATGAATGGGTTGGAGGAGGAGGAGGAGGAGGAGGAGGAGGAGGAGGAGGAGGAGGAGGAGGAAGGAGGAGGAGGAGAGGAGGGGGAGTACGGGAGCAAGAGGAGGAGGAGGAGGAGGAGGAGAGGGAGGAGGAAGAGGCGAGGAGAGGAGGAGGGGGGGAGTACGAGGAGGAGGCAGGCAGGCAGGCAGGCAGGCAGGCAGGCAGGCAGGCAGGCAGGCAAGTAGCGCCTCGCGCGCGCGCGCCTCCGTAGCTGCCACGGGCGCCCCAGCGCCCGCCCCGCGCGCGGAGAGGCGCTCTCGCAGCGCGCTCCAGCGCCCCGCGCGTGGGGTGGGGGGGGGCGGCGGCCGCCCAGGCGGGCCCCGACGGCGCCCGCGGCGCGCACCCACGGCGCGACCTTTGTCCTAAAGGGCAGGAGGAGGAGGAGAAGGAGGAGGAGGAGGAGGAGGAG